TTATGCAATGTTTTGTTAAGTCTTTTAGCGTTGTGGTTGTAGGGTTTGTCGGCGAGGATACAGGCTGACGAGGCTAAGATCGTCCAGCTGGAGGGGAAGGTCGTTGGGGCGAACAACCGTGCCGACGTGGCCTCAAAAAAAGCCAACGAGGCGATGGAGGAACTCGGCGTCCTGCAGAGCAAGTTGGCCGCCGACGTGGAGGCAGCTAAAGAGCAGGTGCGGGCCGAGGAGCGCTTTGCCATCCGCGATCAGCTGGAGGCCTCTTATGCTGAGAAGCTGAAGCAAGCTCGCGAAGAGCTTCAAAAGGAGAAGGACGACTTGGTCCGCCTTCACAGCATCGCGAAAGCGGACGCTGTACGCGCGGCCGAGGTCGCGGCCGTTCGCCAGTTCAAGTCTTCTCCCTCTTTCGGGAAGATTTTGGCGAACGCCATGACCAAGGCCGTGATCGCGGTCGGGAAGAAGGTTTGGCCGGAGAACCCGGAGGTTCGCTGGGATACTCGCGAGATGGTTCGACACGTCCAGACGTGGATTGGCGAGAAGCGGCCCTTGGAGTCTGATTCTGAGTCAGGGGATGAAGATGAAGAGGAGGATGAGGAAGAGGAGGAGCGTCTGGTTGGGGAGAAGGCCGAGGGTGCGAGTAGGGATGCTGAGGAAGCTGATGATGACGAGGAGGAGGACGCTCAGCCCTTGTTGCTCCGCAAGCAGAGTAAAGAGGGCTGAAGCGCTTAAGTGTCTTCGCGCTGACATGTTTTCGCGCTGACATGTTTCCCCTTTGAGTCTGTTGCTTTTCTTGTTTTCCTCTTTCTTCTTTCTTCTTTTTTTTATCAAGTGTAGTTGCGAGTATTTGTTGCTCCCGCTTAATTGAATCCAAAGAGTCCTCATTCATGGCGTTTGTTTGTTCCTTTGAATCGAGTGGGCGCGAATACTAGTTTTTTGTTCTTGCGAACTGAGTGAGCGCGAATAGTGCTGCACTATTGCTAATTTTTGTTTTTGCGAACTGAGTGAGCTCGAATAGTGCTGGACTATTGCTAATTTTTGTTCTTGCGAACTGAGTGGGTGCGAATAGTGCTAGACTATTGCTAATTTTTTGTTCTTGCGAACTGAGTGAGCCCGAATAGTGCTGGACTATTGCTAATTTTTTGTTCTTGCGAACTGAGTGAGCGCGAATAGTGCTGGACTATTGCTAATTTTTGTTCTTGCGAACTGACTCCTTTCCATTCCTTTGCGGCAAAGCGCGATAGCAAGAAAGATACATATTTAAGTTGCCCGGTGATATTTCCTTAAGTTTTGCGCGTTCCACGTTCTTTGTATCTTGTTGCCCCCCAACTCGCTGAGTTTGAAGGTGTTGGCACCGACCACTTTGCGGATTAGGTAAGAACCCTCCCACACTGAGGCGAGCTTTCCATGCTTGGGGTCGGGGCGGAAGTTCCGTCGCAGTACTGGGTCGCCGAGGATCAACTTGTGTGGAACCAGCTTCGCGTTTTGGTACTTGGCTACCTGCTCTTTCATTGCGGCCAGCTTGATTGCTGCCAACTTGCGCCTTTCCTGTGACAATTCCAGCTCCAGCAAACGCGCTTCATCGTTGGTTTCTTCGCTGTACTTCGTGATTTGATAGGTCGGGGCCGTTGTCTCTATGGGAATTACTGCATCGGTGCCATATGTAAGGGCGAAAGGAGTTTCGCCCGTTGCCACTTTGTATGTGGTGCGGTGCGCCCATAGCACTGTGTTGAGCTCGTCAGTCCAATTACCTTTGGCGTCATTCAAGCGGGTGTGCAGGCCGTGCAGGATTGCTTTGTTGGCGGATTCCGCTTGGCCGTTGGCCTGGGGATAAGCTACCGATGCAAACCTTGCGATGGTTCCCACTTGGTCGCAGAAGTCTATCACTTCTGCACAGTCAAACTGCTTCCCATGATCAAAGATGAGCGCGTTCGGGACCCCGAAGCGCGACAAGATGTTGTTCTTTAGGAAGCGCGTCACCTGTTGTGCCGTTATCGAGGCTAGTGCTTCAGCTTCGATCCATTTGGTGAAGTAGTCGACGGCTACAATAATGTATTTGCGCTTCCCTTTTGCAGTTGGGAAGGGTCCCAAGAGATCCACTCCCCATTGCGCGAAAGGCCATGGACTCAGGTTGGCTTGGAGCTCGGTGGATGGGAGATGGTGCTGGCGCGCGTTGACTTGGCACTTGTGGCACTAGTCCGCGTATTTCTTCGTGTCCTTTTTTATTCGCGGCCAGTAGTATCCGTGCAGCAAAATGGTGCGCTCCATGCTGCGTGGGCCGGCGTGCATTGCGCACAACCCTTCATGTATGTCACGCACCATGTCGCGTGCCTCTTCTTGTCCGATGCACTTTAGGTAGACACCCGAGAACGACCGCCAGTATAGTTCTCCTTCAATAAGTGTGCATCGGGCCGCCTTTTGCCTCAACGTCCATGCCTCTTTAGCGTCCTCCGGTATCGTACCTTCTTGTAAGTACCGCACAATTGGGGTTCTCCAGTCCTCATCGCTCATGAGTTGGGTGGTATTAATCGCCACTTCTTGGCGATTTTCCTCCTCTTCCTTCTGTACCGACACGAGACGAGTTGTCTCGAAATCGGTGGCGGTCGCTAGCTTGGATAGCGCGTCAGCGTGCACGTTTTCCTCTCTCGGTATTTGCACATAAGTTACCTCCTCGAAGGTGGCTGCTCGCACCTTGACACGCTCCATGTAATGCGCTAGGGTGTCTTCCTTTGCGTCAAAGGCTTCGTTCAGTTGGTTGACTGCAAGCGAGGAGTCGGAAAGTACCCTTATTGTTCTTGCGCCCAAGTCGTGGGCGGCAGTCATTCCTGCCAGGATGGCCTCGTACTCGGCCGCGTTATTCGTCTTCAACGCTCTGAATCTGATTGCTATCTCGTGAACGACGCCTGTGGGTGTGCGCACGACGACCCCCGCGCCAGCACCGTGCTTACTTGCCGCTCCTTCGACATAAACTTCCCATACCCCCTCTGGTGTTGTTTCGAGGGTGACTCCTTCAGCGATGAAGTCTGCTAGGATTTGGGCTTTTATTGCTGGTCTCGGCGCATATTGGATATCGTACTTTGAGAGTTCGACCGCCCATTTCACCATGCGCCCTGATACTTCCATCGAAGTTAGGATTTTCTTTAGCGGGAGGTTGGTCAGGACAGTGATCTGGTGCGCTTGGAAATAGGGACGCAACTTCTCCGACGCGCTCACTAATGCCAGGGCCGCTTTCTCTATTGGGGAGTATCTTGTTTCCGCGCTGACTAGCGTGCGTGAAGTATAATACACAGGTTGCTCGGTATTATCATTTCTTCTGGATATCAGAACTGTGCTCACAGCTTTCGTCGACACGGCCAGATAAAGGAATAATTTTTCATTAAGCTTGGGAGCTGTCAACACAGGAGGGGATACAAGATATGCCTTCAGCTCTTGGAATGCTGCTTCACATTCTTTGGTCCATGCAAACTCTGTGCCGCTTTTGAGTGTTTTGAAGAAGGGCGCGCACTTGTCGGCTGACCTTGGGATGAATCTCCCTAGCGCTGCTATTTTCCCATTCAGGGATTGGATTTCCAACGCGCTCCTCGGTGCCCGTAGTTGTTGGACCGCCGTGATTTGTTTTGGGTCAACTTCGATGCTGCGCTTGGTTATCATGAACCCCAAAAACTTCCCTGCTTCGGCTACAAACACGCACTTCAGTGGGTTCAAGCGGAGGCTGTGTTTGCGGAGCGCCTCGAATGTCTCTCGCAGGTCCTCCAGATGCGTGTTGCCGGCCTTGGTCTTGACGATGAGTTCATCCACATACGCCTCGATGTTCCGCCCCCTCTATTGTGAGAACACCGAATCGATCATCCTTTGGTATGTCGCGCCCGCGTTCTTCAGTCCGAACGGCATCCCGACGAAACAGAAGTTTCCGAAGGGAGTCATGAAAGCCGTCTTTTCTTCATCTTCGCTTGACATCGGGATTTGGTGGTATCCTGAGAACATGTCCAAGAAAGACAGTGTCTCGTGGTCGGCAGTGGCGTCGATCATTTGGTCAATGCGCGGCAGGGGGTAAGGGTCTCCCGGGCATACCTTGTTGATTGTTGTGTAGTCGACGCACATCTGCCAAGCCCCTGAAGACTTTTTCACCAGGACCACATTTGCCAACCACTTCGGGTATTTGACCGGGCGGATCAACCCTGCCGCCAACAGTCGCACCACCTCCTCTTTGATGGCCTTCAGTTTGTCGCCAGTAAAGCCGCGTCGCGCTTGCTGCCTCGGAGGCGCGTTGGGCGGGACTGCGAGGCAATGTTGAGCTACATGCCTTGGTACTCCCGACATGTCTTCTGCGCACCAGGCAAATAGCTCATTGTATTCCTTCAATAGCGCTATCAGCGGCTCAATCACGTCGTCGCGGACATGAGTCGAGATGCGTATTTTCCTAGTCGGCTCGGTTGGGTCGAGCGCGACCTCGAAATCCGAATCCATTGATTCCGGACGGGGCTCCTCTGGCCTTGTGTCGACAATGTTGGTTTGTCGGGCCTCTCCTTCTAGCTTCGGGGCTCCCCATGGTGTCCTGTGCGCCTCTCCGGTTCCCATCTTAGTGGGGAACTTAAGCTTCTGGTGGCATGTGGATGGAAGGGCCATGAATTTTGCTAGGAAGGGTCGGCCCAAGATGCCGTTGTGGGATGATTTGCAGTCGACTATTGTGAACTCGACTTGCTTTGAGACGCACGGCTCTTGGTCTCCGATAACAACAGGAAGAGTTACCACCCCAATTACTGGAACCCTCGTTCCAGAGAAGCCGACTAGGTTTCCTTGGGCGCGCTTGATTAAGCGCGGGTCGATGTCCATTTTGTCGATAGTGCTTTGGAAGAGGATGTCTGCCGCGGCACCTCCGTCTATCAGTAGGCGGTGAATTTTGCAGGCAGCCACTAGGGCGGTGATGATGAGCGGGTCTTCAGACGGTATTCCTTGCGGTAATTCCGTGTCGTCGAAGCTTAGTTAGCCACTTGTTTGTACATCCGCTGCTGCGAATTTGATTGCTCATTCGCGCTTGGTTTTCTTTTTCGGGCGATCTCCTTCCACCGTCTCCACCCCTATCTCTTTTCGCACTACATATGCTCCAGCGGCTTCGTTGTAGTCAGCTTGTGGGGGTGGTGGCGGGTTTTGTGGCCCCCCAAATTGTTCCTCTTTTTCGTGTGTTAACTCGGTCAGCAATCCTCGTCGTATGAGGCCTTCTATTTCATAGCGCAGTTCTCGGCAATCTTCCGTCCAGTGCCCCGTTGCCCTATGGAAGTCCCAATGCTTTTTTGGGTCCCGCATGTGGAGCAAGGACTTCAGAGGCGTGGGCCAATTGAGCTTGTATCCCTTCTCGCGGAGAACGTGGAACACGTTCTTCACGGAGTCGTTGAGTAGTGTAAAGGCGTGTGTTGCGCGCCTGTCTGGCGATCTTCCTCGCTGAGCTTGCTCTTGTGGGGGAGGGGGATGACGCTTTTGCCCGCTATCTCGCGGCAGCGTGAGCTGCCGACGTCCCTGTTCCTCTCGTGGCAACTTGGCTGGCTCGAAGCGCCTAACAGATCCCGCTCCGAGGGTTTCTTCCAGCGTAATTGCCTTCTCAATCTTCATCTCCAACTCCGTTGATAGAGTTACGGGCCTTTTTGCTAGCGCCCTCTTGAGTTCCATGTTGGTGGTGGCTTCCATAAGGTGATGGGCGGCGGTTTTGGGGGTAAGGTCGCGCACTGCCATCGCCACCCTGGACCACCTGGCGTAAAATGATCGCAGGCTTTCCCCGTCCTTTTGCCTGAGGTCTACCAGCGCCTTGAGGTGGAGGGGCCTTCTTTTTTGGGATCCGAACTTTGTCGTGAATAGGAGTATGAACTCCTCAAATGAGCGGATGATCCCGTTCGGGAGTCTGTTATACCAGTCTAGGCATATCCCGGAGAATGTTGATGGGAAGGTTCGGCATAGTGCCGCGTTGGAGTTGGTTTGGAGCTGCATCCGTAGGCAGAAGGTGCTCACATGGTCTTCGGGATTAGTCGTCCCGTTGTATGTCGGGAGGGCGGGTGGCATTCCGCTCAGGTGTTCCGCCATTATTTCCGCGCTTAGCGGCTGGTGGAGCGCCCTCTTGGGTGGGTTGAGTCGGTATTGCGGAGACAGGTGTTGCTCCAGAAAACTGAGGTCCGCCCTTTCTGGCAGCTCAACTTGTTGTGTTTCGTACGCGGGGTGCGGTGGTGGGACCGTCCCCGACGTTTCTCCTGGGGCTTGTTGGGGCGCGGCTGGTGTCGCGCATACTGTGAGCTCGACTTGTTGCGTTTCGTGCGCGGGGTGCGGTGGTAGGGCAGTCCCCGACGCTTCTCTTGGGGCTTGTTGTGGCGCGGCTGGTATCGCGCCTGCTGTCGCCGCGGCCTCTTTGCTCATCATGAGCACTATGACCTGGCTCATTTGTTTCTGTATGCTAGCTATGACGTCATTCTGCTTTGCCATCAGCTGTCTCATTTCCTTGGCTGTGAGCTCGGGCTCTTCCTCTTCCAGGAACACCGCGTTGAGATTGCTAGCTTCCGCGAATTCCCTTAGGTTGGTCATCGCTTTGATGGGGGTTGATTCGTCAGGCGAGTTGGAGTTATGCTCTGCCATAGGTCGGTTTTCTTTGCTTCTCTACTTGGCCCGACGGTGGGCGCCAATTGTTTGAGCCTAACTGGGTGTAGGAGTGAGACTCGGAAAGATGGGTCAAGGAGAGCGAGCAAAGGGAGAATAACCGTTGATGGAAGAACTGGGGAGAAGATGATTAGAATTGAGAGAGAAAGTCTTTAGAGAGAGAAGTTCATAATTCTAGAGATAGAGCCTCAAAAATCCGATCCCCTCACCCACCGGAGTAAATGCCATATTTATAGGCTACATGGTGGTGGGTGAGTGGTTGGGTTACATGTGGGTACAATGACATGACCACTGACATGCCAGGGATTTAGGCCATGCTTTTAGGACCCTGCTTTTTGGACCCTGATGTGACTACTCCAGACTTAGCCAGGACTATACCTAGGACTATGATGGTGACTACCCATTGGATGACGCGGCGCCGCTTCTACGACTTCTCGACAAGGGTCCACGTCTGTCCAAAGCGTCGTCGTTTAGTGTTTGTGCGCGGCCTCCGGGGGTGGTCTTTACCCGCCCGCTTGCCTCCGGGGGTGGTCTTTACCCGCGCGCTTGAATCCGGCGTGACTCGCGCGCTTGACTTTGGCGTGAGCATCCTTGGGTGCTTCTTCAGTGTGGTGAGATCCGAGTCACATGCCCAACAGTTATAGTTTTCTAAATGCTTCATGATACTTGTGGTCGACACGCATGTTGTTTTAATAATTCTTGAAAATGACAAGCATGTCCCTCCCTTTAAAATCAACATGAAATTATGGTCAACCCTTTCAATATAAAATGTCAAGCAAAGGAAATGAATCTATTTGATGGAAATAGTGTTAGCACCATGGTAACAAAGTAGGTGTTATAGGATCCTAACCTCATCCAATCCAGGTCGAATGGTAGAACCATAAGATCAAGTTATGAATTATCAAATTGTGATCGATTTATGAGTCTATCTCTTTACATTAGCTTAGTTTGACTCACTCCTACTGTCACTCTAGAAAATGGCCAAGTGAAACCACTTCCTAAAGCGTAGTATAGCGGGTTTGGGTTTTAATGTCAACCCGGGTCCTAGATGTGATGACTACTCAGTGAATTCTTATTATCTAGCGGTAAAACTTAAGTGCAGGTTCAAACAAGCAAAAACACAAAGCAAGTTAAACGGTTGTTTCAAGTCGAGAGAGGTCACCCGGATATGGTTACCCCTAGACTGCAGTTAAGCCGGATTGCAATTACCAAGTTCAGTTTCTATGATAGTTATACTGCGGAAGGTTCTTAAACAGTCTGAAGTCTCGACTAAAGGTCTCCAGACCCTCTCAATCTGAGTCCCCAGCGGGCGACTAACCTCCACCAGAGTAAACAGATTAAGGCCCTAACGAACCAAACCTCCACTACCGAAGCAAATTCGGTACAGAATAGTGAATTGGCTCCTCGACTAAAGTCGCCAATTTACTACCTTCAATTAAGGAGCTCTATTAACCTAGGCAGATATTCTCATTCTAGGCTAAAGCAGAAATAACAGGAAATTGATCAGGATTCAAGTCATTCAATCATTCAAGCCTCAATTGAATATAATCAAATCATAGAATCTGTACTTGGGTTCATACAATCAGACATAACATACAAATCTAGGGTTCTCCATACCCAGATGAATGGGAGAACTACTCCATGGAGAAAGAAGCAAAAGCAGATTCAGATGCGGAAACCATACTGTGAAGGATGGATTTCTGCTCCTGGTTGTCGATCGGCACTTCTCCAAGCTCAAGCTGGGCTCCAATGGTGATGAAGATCAAGCTATGGCACTTGGGAACTCTTGTTTGTCGCTTTCTCTCTCTAGGAATCGCTCTGTCTCTCTAAAACTTGGAACCCTTGATTTTCAGCCTTCTTTTCCTTTAAAAACTTGACTGTCGCGATACCAGGTCGAAATACCCGGTCGGGTATTTTGGGTCTCGATCGGGTATAATTGAAACGCGCGTTTAAGAGAAGAGAAAAATCCCTAGTCTTCTCTAAGAATCCCCGACCGGGGATTTATGCTTCACGACCGGGACCCCTTCTGTTTCTCAGACGCCAAAAACGATAAATACCCGGTCGGGTATTTGAGCCCATGACCGGGTATTTTCCTCCTGCAGCACACTTCGACCCAACTTCGCTCCTTTCGACCCAAAACTCGTTTCTTCGCCTCGATTCCAACGCCGGGCCCTGAAATATGACATAAACGCACAACCTCGCGTGAAATCGGCTTAAAACACGAGAATCAACCTCTCAAACGGTTTAAGAATAGGGGTAAACACATGTGTAATTATTGGTCTATCAAACTCCCCCACACTTAACTGATTGCTTGTCCCCAAGCAAACCTAACTCAAACCAATGCAACTCTCCAGACCTCTATAGCAACCAACAACCCCGATCATAGGTAGAGGATTTCCTATATCATTTAGCAACTTACGAGGTCAACCGACGCACAAGTCATCTCATAGCTTCTTCAGCGAGAGCGCTAGTCTCGAGTCGGCATCATGGCAAATAGTGAACAGAGGACAAATGAATCGTGGACGAATGGACTCTCAAAAACAAAAGATCATGGACTCACATTTTTAAGGTGCTCTATTTTCTTTTTGAAGATGGTTGGAACCCCTTTTCTTTCTTTTTTGCTTGTTTTCTGTTTTTTCTTTTTCTTTTTTTTTTTCTTCCAAGGGTCCCAACCTGCTTTTCAGAAAATGGGGGCTCCCACCTAGCAGAGGTTTTGCAGGAGCCCGGCTCTTACCGACCATGCCAGGAGCAAATGTCTCGAGCCTCGTGCGGGGAAAAGACATGTAAGGGGGCTGAAGGTAGTAGGTGGAAATTGGGAACGGATTCCCGTCTCCCCTTACACACTTTCGCCCTATTCGCACGGGAGACGTTATTTTAAAGCACATTTTCGAGCACCTTTTATTTCAAAAACATGATACAGGAGTCCATGACAGGTAGAGAATCCACATCACTACAAAATTCAAGGGTCCTACGATCACTAATTCACACAATCAACCAACCCAATATGAAGAAGAAATGAGACTTCTTAAATGCATCAACATCCTCCATAGTGCTACACTACCTCCCTAGGTTGCACATTACTATAGAGACTGTCAATTCAAAGCATACTGAGCAGGCAATTGCAAGGAACACGTACTTGGAGCCCTCAAATTTAAAAATTTGGACAGTGGACTAGGCTCCAAGCACACAAACAGATCTAACGCAGTCAAAAGATAAACATCCCCCCACACTTAAGATCGACATTGCCCTCAATGGAGAAGAGGGAAGGAAAAGGGGAACGATTTTACCGGTGTGCACGGACTGCAGGAGACTGGAAGCGGACCAGTCGAAGTGAAGCGGACTGGAGAGAGGACCAGTCAAGAACAAGCACAGCTAAAGGAAACCAAAGAGCTCAAACACAATACGTTAGGTCCAATGGTCAGCCCAATAGTACAACATCCAAAATAAAAAGAGAGAAACGAAACCGACACAAGACAGTTTGCACGCTGACAAAAACAAAAACACTCAAAACATGCCACTAGGGGCCTCCTAGACCGGTGAAGTCGATCTGGTTCATGAGGTCGTCGTCCCCATCCCCCGGCGGTGGTGGTGGTGAATGATCCCACCGGGTGGTCCAGTGGTGCTCCTCTGGTGGGTGACAAGCCTGGAGCAGGTGCTCCGAGTACTCCATCAATCGGCGGCCTCGATCTCTCTCCCGCTCGATAAGAGCACCCGTGACTCCCATATGGGTCTCTAAGCGGTCGAGGCGCTCGTCAACAACCGTCAGCCTGGACTGGTACTCGGCCTGGTGGGCCGAATACTGCTGGTAGAACTGGACCTGATAATCCATGAGCTGCTGGTTCTGAAGACCGAGCTGCTGGAACTGGAGCCCCATCTGCTCGAACTGCTCCATGAAGAAGTCCATCGACGGGCCAGAAGCCATCGACGGACCAGAAGGACCGGAGGAGAGAGTGGGGGTTCCGACTCATCAGCATCCATGGCCCCGCCATCATCATCCTCCTCCTCCTCATCGGTGTAATCAGCGTCCTCCTCGTCCTCATCGAGGTCTGCATCCTCCTCAGGGGGCATGGAGAGCCCATCCACCCAAGAACGGGTGCCGTCAGTGGCCAGGAGGAGTGCATTGTGAAGCACGTCCCGGCTGAAGGGAGCAGAGCTGCCCTGGACAGTAGACTCGGTGAGGTCATCGAAGTTGATGTCGAAAGGGCGCGCCAAGCGGGTGATCAGGGGACCACAAAAGAGATGGTTGGGCTTCCCGTGGCATCGAGAGAAGGTGGTAGCCACGAAGGAACCCAAATGCAACATGTGATCCGGATCCCCCATCGAGTACATGGCATACAGTACCCGCTTCGGGATCTTGTGGGAGCCAGTGACGTTGGGGACGACGGATCGGGTGATGAGCAGGTTCAGAATGTGCCACTGCGGCTTCAGGGTGCGAACATATGTCTAGCCAGCGTCGAAGTAGTCGAACGCATAGGCGCGCCGGGAAATCCGCGAGTAGAACTCATCCATGTTCCAGTCTGTTGGGTTTGGGACCTCGACCTCGTGGCGGGAGGATGGGTGATACTGGATCCCCATGGCGTAGACCACGCTATCTATAGTCAGCTGCCGCTGGCGGCCGCCCAGCCTGAAGGTGACCGCGTAGGAGTCCCAGGCCGCCTTGGGACTGTACTGAAACGTGGTGTAGAACTCCCACACCAGCTCGGTGTAGGTGGGCTCCTCGATCGTCAGCAAAGTCCGCCAATCCCGGTGGCTGATGGCGGAGGAGAGCTCTTGTATGCAGTGGAGTTGCTCGAAAACTGCCCACTCCAGATGGTAGTGGCGCTCCAGTTTCCCCCGGATGACCTTGCGGAACTGGTCCGCGTAATCCCGGTGCAGGCGCAGGTTTCGCACAAATAAATGGTCTAGTGACATGTTCCTGCAAAATTAGCAAACCAAAGGTGGAGCCAAGAAAAACTTGTCAGGACCAACAGTATGGGTTCATTACTTCCCCCACACCTAAGGATCACCTAGGCTAACAGTTTTAAGCACAGACGGTTGAATCGCAAGCAACTCAACCGGAATCAAGGCAAGAACCACAGAACCAACCACATTAATTACACGGGCAGCACATACACCATAGATAGAACCATGCATACTCAAAGCATCCCTCACCCTATTCTAAATCATGCAAGCAAATACAGTTCTCAGTCCTACAATCTACAGTTTGATTTTCCAGGAAAGAGCAATTAACAAGAAACACACCTGAAAACGCAAGTAGAACTGTAGCTAAGGCTCAAAAAACGGGTGAGGGACGCAA